CGGGCCTAAGCTAGCAGGTGGACACCCCTGAGGGGTCCCAGACTCTGAGAGAGCACAGGCCGGGCTGAGGGACCCCACCCCCCACCCCCGAGTGCATGAATTTTCGTGCACCAGGCCTCTAGTTAATATAATAAATGTGATGTTTATATTTCTACCTTATAAATAGGTAAGTTTATTTAGAACTACCATCTAAATACAAGGTCAGGAACATTTATTGTCATCTAATGTGGCTTTACAGATTATCACTATAACATTATTCATCTTTCATAAATGTGTGTCATTGTTCATAAATTGACAAATGTGTGGCTGGATAGGAAAACTCCAACAGCGCAACTAAAATCTATCCACAACACACATTCTCCTTGTTTTGGATCTTAAATTAGTGCACAGCACAGGTAGCTTTAAAGAGTGGGGGTGAATCAACATACCTCAGATGTTTATAACTCATCTGGGGAGAAATAAGGAGTATCTCATCTTGATCCCCTATTGGCCAATTATTCATAGATCAGGAGAAGTAGTAATGCTCACCTTAATTTAAAATGCATCTCTCATGTCTGTTTATCAGTGTAAAATAAATAAGAAGATTTCTGCTGCATAGAGATAAAAAGGCTGCATTGCCTAAAACTACTGGTAAACTGTCTGAAAATGCATTCAATCAATTGGAAATTGCTTTTTCCCCCTCCAGTAGAAAGTAGTAAAAGTACTTAACATTAAGTATTTATATGGTTTAGGTTTTTATGGCCTGATGTTGAGTTCTAAACAAAAAGGGCAGATATCATTACCTAATCTTTTATAGCTAAATGCAATTCCATGAAGAATGCACAATAACCTAGTGAAAAAAACGAAGTATGGTGTCAAACAAACCCGGGCTGGAATCACATCTCTGAAGATTACTAGTTGGCTAATCTTGGTAGATATACTTCAGCTCTGTCATTCCAAAATTCTGACTTTATTGTAGCATGGCATGAGGATTAAAAGACCTAGGTATTTTATAAGTACTCCTTGACTGTTAGTTTCATTCTCTTATGTGGCATAGTTTCAATAGGAACTCATAGCCACTATTAATAGCCACCTCCTCACAACTTCCTTTATGAAAAAGATAGTGACTGGGAATAAATACCCACCATTTTACACATAACAGGAATTTTAAGAAAAGAAAAATCAGGTTTGTTTCCTCATCTGAAAATTTAAGATTTTATACAGTCCCTAATATCTCCAAGAATAATTGTTGAGGATCATTATTGTGTAGGATCTTATCATTTTGAAAACTGTTTTCAGAAAAATCATGTCCAAGTGGTTTAAAAGTGTGAGCACATAGCCATATTGTTGATGCAAAAGAGCCACCAACTCAAAGGGCCCTCTCCTTCTGGACTGCATTGGTATGTTTGCTTTTCCCCAAGGGGATTGTATGGACACACTTTGTAAGTTTCACAGTCATAAACTTGCACAGTCTTCATATTTCACTAGATTTGATATGATTATTTCATCCATATACTTCTCATTAATCTTTCCCAAATCCAAGTTCACTGGTAGAAGCTCGAATTTATTAAGTCCGCCAAGCCATGACAAACTTAATGCCTGCAGGTTGTGGAGCACCAAATACTGACCATGGGGAAACGCTTACCCCTGTGAAGATTGAAGCAAAGACCTCTGTGAACAGAGACCACCAGACCTACTGGCTGGGAATAAGTGGCAGCCAAACAGTGAGAGGCGCTAGTCAATGCCTGAACACGTGGTGCGTGCCTTCCACCCACTGTCTCTTCTTGCTTGCTTGCAGTTGTTTGGCTTGTTGAAGGAAATGAATGAAAGCCATTTGAGTTCAGTGATGTTTGTGTGCAATTTCTCTTGGTATTGCCTACTCCTTCATATCTTGTCTTTGTTTTGATGTTGTTGCTCAGAATTAAACATTAAGTAATCCAGGAGAACTCGTAACCTCTCTGTAAACTCAACTGCAAGGTGGGGATATGAAGAGTCATTATGAGACATAAATGAATGAATATATGCCAAGTGCTTAGAACAGTTTCTGACACAGGATAAATGCTATGCAAATGTCAGCTGTTATTATTAAGAACTGGAGAAGGCTTCTGGTATGGGATGTTAAAAAGTTACCTAGGAGACATATTCAGTACGAGAACTGTAATAGGGTTAACGTCCTACCTCAGCGATATATCAACTTCCTACCCTCGTGTGATAATTTAGTTCACATAGATTCTGATTGCCTTTTTCTTTCATAAGACATCACACTGGCCCATCACATTGATGACAGTGTGCTCATTGGATCTTGTGTGCAAGAATTAAGAACTATTATAGACTTAGTAAGACATTTGCCTGTCAGAGGGTAGGAAATAAATCTGACAAAAATCCAGGGACCTACCACCTCAGTGAAATTTCTACCTGTCCAGTGTTTTGGGACATGTGATGTCCCTTCTAAAGTGAAGGATAAGTTGTTGCATCTAGCCCCTTCTACAATTAGAAAAGAGACACAATGCCTAATGGATTTCTTTGGATTTTGGAGGAGACATATCCTCAGAGTGTGTGACTCTGGCCTGTTTACCGAGTGATCCAAAAAGTTGCTGAATTTGAATTGGGTCCCGAAGAAGAGAAGGTTCTGCATCAAATCCAGGGTGCTATGCAAGCTGCTCTGCCACCTGGGCATATGATCCAGCAGATGCAACGGTGCTTGAAGTTCATGGCAGATAGGGATGTGCCTTGGAGCCTTTGGCAGGCCCCTATATGTGAATCACAGCATAGACACTTACGATTTTTGGAGCAAAGTATTGTCATCCTTTGTGGATAATTACTCTCTTATTTAGAAACTTAATATGCTATTGGGTCTTGGTAGAGACTGAATGTTTACACATAGGCTCACCAAGTTACCATGTGATGTGAGCTGCCCGTCATGAACTGGGTGTTTCTGACCCACAAAGCCATAAAGTTGGGTATGCACAACACACTCCATGATCAAATGGAAATAGTGTATATGAGATGAGCAGGCCTTGAAAGCACAAGTAAATTACATGAGAAACAACCTTACATCAGGAGCCAAGTGTACATGGCTCCCATTACTACTACATTATTCTCTCCCAGCCCACATTTGTGGCCTCATAGGTAGTTCCCTTAAATCACTTGACTGAGGAAGAGAAAATCTGTGCCTAATTTACAGTTGGTTCTGTACAATATGCAGGCACCACCTGAAAGTGAAGCTATAGCACTGCAGCCCCTTTCTGGGGCACACCTGAAGGACAGTGGGAAAGGGAAATTCTCCCATTAAGCAGAAATTTGAGCTATGCACTAGATTGTTCATTTTGTTTAGAAGAAAAAATAGGTAGATATGCACTTATATACCAATTCATGGGCTGTGGCCATGGCTTGGCTCAATAGTAAGACTTAGAAGGAATGCTTGGAAAATTAGTACCAAAGAAGTCTTGAGAAGGGGTATATAGATCCATCTCTCTAAAGTGATGAAAAAAGCAAACGTAAGGATATTTGCATCTCATGTGAATACCCACAAAATAGTGTTCTCAGTCGAGGAGGATTTTAATAATCAAGTGAGTAGGAAGACCCATTCTGTGGCTGCCAGTCAGCCCTTTCTCTCAGGCACTCTTGTCATCATCCAATGGACTCATAAACCAAGTGGCTATGGAGGCAGGGACAGAGGTATGCCTGGGCTCAACAATATGAACTTCTACACACCAATGCTGACCTGGCTATAGTCACTGCAGAGTGACTAATCTGTCAACATCTGACACCAAAATGAAGTCCCCAATATGGCACCATTCTCTGGGGTGATTAGTTAGCTATCTGGTGGCAGGTTGATTATACTGGATCACTTCTTCATGGGACGGGCAGTCTCTTGTTCTTATTGGAATAGACACTTACTCTAGTAACAGATTGCCTTTTGTGCACACAGTACTTCTGCCAAAACTATCTCTGTGGACTTAGAAAATGCCTTATCCACTATCATGCATTGTAATAAGCATTGCTTCCAGTCAAGGAACTAATTTCACAGCAATGAAGTGTGGTAATGGGCCCATTTTTATGGAATTTGGTGGTCCTGTCATGTTCCCCATCATCCTAAAGGAGGTAGCTTGGTAAATTATTAAAATGGCCTTTGGAAGACCCTCGGGTATAGCACAAGCCAGGTGGCAATGCTTTGCAAGGCTGGGGCATTGTTCTCTGGGCAGATATATATACTCTAATTCAGTGTCTAATATATGGTGTTGTTTCTCCCACAGTCAGGATTCACAAGTCTTAGAATCAAGGGCTGGAAATTGAGTGGTACCATTCACTATTACCACTAGTGACTCACTAGCAAAATTTTTGCCTCCTATCCCTGAGAGCTTATGCTCAGCTAGTCTAGAAGTCTTAGTTCCAGAGCAAGGAATGCTTCCACCAGGAGACACATTAATGATTTTATTGTATTTGAAGTTAAGACTGCCACCTACCCACTTTGGGTACCTCATGCCTCTGAATTAACAAGCAAAGAGGAGAGCTATTGTATTGGCTAGGGTGATTGATCCTAATTACCAAGGGAAATTGAGCTGCCACTACAAAATGGAGATAAGAAAGAGTATATCTGGAGTACAGGATATCCATTAGGGAATCTCTTAGTACTACATGCCCTGTGGTTGAAGTCAATGGAAAAACTGTAACAGCCCAATTTATGCAAGACTACTAATGGCCCAGACCTTTCAGAAATGAAAATTTGGGTCACTCTACCAGGCAAAGTACCATGACCAGCTATGGTGCTTGCTGTGAGTAAGAAAAATATGGAGTGGGTGATAGAAGCTGATAAATACAGCTACAATCATTTGGCCAATTGTAGAAATTAGGACTTAAATATTACAAGTATTTCTTCCTTATTTTGTTATGGATCTACATATGTTTCCTTCCCTCTCTTATCCCCTTATCATATAACATAAGACTTCTTAATAACAGTTAACTTTCTATCACAGTATTTAAGTTACAATATTTTTTATCAAGGGGAAGAGTAAACTGAATCATCTGAGGACTTGGCATCGTCTTCTAAGGAAAGGGTGAGCACATTTTCAGTTGTACACAGTATAGGCTGAAGTATGATTTCCTCATTGTATTTGGAGATTAAGGACAGTTTAAGAAGATGGGTATGGATGCCAAGTTGACAGGAGGTGGATTGTAATGCTTAGTTTTATATGTCAACTTGGCTAAGTTATTGTACTCAGTTATTTGATCAAGCAATAAGCTAATGTTGCTGTAAAAATATTTTGTAGATGTTTTTAACATCTACATTCAGATAATGTTAAGTAAAGGAGATTTTTTTCTTCCATAATGTGTATGAGTATCATCCAAGCCGCTGAAAGGAAGCAGACTCAACCTGGGTAAGGGGGTATTTTTAACATTCAAACAAGCCCCATTTACATTATTTGACTATTCTGTTCATGTGTATTATGAAAAGGAGACTATTTTATTTTAATTACACTCTAAATAGACATCATTGTTTATTTTCTGAATAACATCTTTTTAATAAATAAAAAGGAAGTCTTTGAACATTATCCCTGTTATACATGTGTACTCTATAATTGGGGGGACTACTTAATCTTATTTGCCTTCCCAATTTTGAGAAAGTACGGCCTAAGTCTCGTTCAGAATGGATTTCTCTATTACCACCATCTCCACTACACTGCTTACGCTAGGCTTTTCCAACTTGTCGTGGTGAGCCTTGGTATTGAATGGTGTCCCACAGTGAATCAGTGTTTCGCTCATTCTTTCAAGAAGCTTGGCTTTCTCCCATCCCATACTGCTTTCTGCATTCAGACTTCCTGACAATCAGAATACACAAACTATACACGCAAAGCTGACTTGGAACAGGAGTAATTCTGGATCTCACAGAGCAGTTGGCAGCTATTTCTGCAAGAAGGCACAGGAAGGAGTTAGCCCCCTCTCCAGTTCCCTGCTGTGCCCTCCATCTCTCAGAGATCCTGTGTCTGGCTCAGGAAGAAAATGTGTGCTATTAGAACCTAGTCCCATGTGAGACCAGCATGGCTATGTTATCTCCTGTCCCGGAACCTACCAAGCTGGTCTAAACTTCTGCATTACAGCCGTAGCTGGTTTGGCTCACTGGGTAGAGCCTCACCCCAAGGACTAAAGGGTCCCAAGTTTGATTCCAGGAAAAACATATACCTCGATTGCAGGCTCGATCCCTGGCCGGTCTAGCCTGTGTAGGAGGCTATCAATTGATGTGTCTCTCTCACATCAATGTTTCTCTCTATGTGTCTCTCCCCCTCCCTTCTACTTTCTCTAAAAATCAATGGGAAAATATCCTTGGGTGAGGTTTAAAAATAAATAAATAAACAAATAATAAACTTCTGCATTACAAAGAAAGAGTTGCTTCTCTAGTGTTAGAATTTGATTTCTTCCTTTAAATTGTTTTGCTGAAATATCTGCTAAAGTGAAGTATGCACAATGTGAATTGTTGTTGCTACAATGGGACTTCTCTTCCTAACAAGAGATTCTATTCTTTCAAAAATTCAGAGGGGCCTTAAAGAGAAAATTTAAGCCCCTTTCTTCCATCCCTTATTTGACTATTCTGCATCTACCTCTGTAGATCATTTTACCTTTAGGGTTGAAGAGCTCAAGAGGATTTAGTCTTCTTCTTTGGATTCTGGGATTGGTAACATCTTTATGGTGGAATTCCTATAATGTACCAGATTCTTTTGTCTATAATCCAACATAAGCAGAGCTGATGTTCAGCTAAAAAGCAGTCATATGGCTGCATCGATTGTTGCTGACTAACATCTAACTGATTGGTGGCTGAGCCATACAGGTTGTTAAATATTTTTAACATCACCCTTGCATATGGGCCCTCACATATAGAGGGTTGCAAATAGAGATAACTCTAGTATGTTGAAAGCTTCATGGAACCATGCCTTCAATAACTGTAGTTCAGTTGTTTGATACAACACTGAAAACATCATAGACATCCAATAAAGACTAATCGGCCAGTTAGGTGCAGTGTGTATTCGTGAAGTATCACCATTGATTACCCAGACTTTATTATAAAGTGTGAGTGGTATTAATGGCATTATAAGCATTGGAGGAGCTATCCCTCTGGGCACCTAGGTCTCCTGTGCTTCAGGGGCAGACAGAATTCAGCGTAGTTGGTTACACTCTGTAAGCAGAGTGCCCAGAATCTTACCACAAACCCTCTTGGGAGAGCTCCATGCCAACCCAAGGTCACCCGAGGAGAAGTTCTTATGAACACCAGTGATCTGTATCTTTACAGAGTGTCATGTCAGCACTAAGTTGTACATAATATTTGAACATCAGCTGGCAGTTACAGCATTGCCATTTGAATTTATATCTCAAGTGTACTTACACTTCACAAAGAGCTCTGTTCCATTATCATGGAATTTTTATTGGATTCCCATTCTAGTTTTTTAGAAAAGAAGCAGAGAAAGAAAATTGATAAAATGTGACTAATGTGGGTAATTGCCTTTAAAATTTTCACCAATACAGTACTCTCAAGTTCTTTTTATCGTTTTTCTTTGGCCCTCTGAGAAACAAATCTCTTTGGAAATTTGAACTTATTGAAAATCTTTAGACTTCAGCCAACCCTTTCTAAAGAGCAAGGGCATCGTTATGGATTTTCTCAAGCACAAAAAGAGGTGCTCAACCTTAATTATACCAAGCTTTCATTGATTTGGCTGACTTACTATTTTAAGCCTGATTAACATTGGGGAACTTATAATCATCACCACTGAGGTTTGGAGAGGTGGGAGAGACCACAAAAGGTCAGCTACCAAGGATGGCCATCATTCGAGGAAGGGGACATTCCAAAGTGACAGAGACATGTATTAAGATACAAAACCCAGTAGCTCTTGGTAGCAATTGAGAATACTGAAGGTGCTTATTGCTCATGTGAAATCTAAGTAGACATTAGTAATCAAAAAGTCAGAGTTTACTAAGAGAACTTCTTTCAGAAGTACAGTGCATCTATATAATAGCACTATCAATAGCATCCATTTATCAAGTACATACTACAATGCTTCTCAAAGTGTCCCTAACAGATATAGAATATGGACCCTTCATGGAACCCACCACTCTCAGTTTGCTGACTTGAAGTCTGTGTTATTCCTATTTTATTTCCAGTTTTACTTTCTTTAGAATGCCTGGCTTCTAAGGAGCATTGCCAGGGATATTCATATATTACTGAGTCAGCTACAGAGACTCTTTTCCTATTATGATTTATTACACGGGCCACAGAAAACAAGTGATTTATTACAAGGGCCACAGAAAACAAGTGTGGGCAAGAGAATAGTAGCAAAAAATACTTGCTGACAACCACTTCTCACTATTCGTTCCCCTTACAACATAGGAGTCTTGGCCTTAACCAGCTGTGTCCACAGAATATGGCCACACATTTGCACCCAAATTTCTACCCTTCCACTTGCCAAGTGATTAATAAGTCCAGACTTTTCCTAGGTTTCTCCTCTTTAAATATTCTTAACTCCCAGGGTTGCTTTTTCCTGCTAATGAAGTCAGTTTTTCCAGCCTGCTGCTACTACTGGGAGTGTGAGATTATTGAGATCAAACTCCACTGTCCTTTGGCGATGAGAAGGCCTGCTCTGTTTGTCTTGGTTGTCTCCAGCCCTGTAGTCTTGCTGACATCACTAGGCCAGCAGCAGCCAAGCTCCAGCAATCCTACAAAAAACAGTCCCTGGTTAGGAAGCACTACTTGCTGATGGGCCTACCTGAGTCTAATTATTCAATTTGGAAAATAAAATGGGAAGATATATAAGGATGTTTACAGAAACTATTTCAGCTATCTTGACATATTTCCATACTAATATTCTCAAAAGTAGTCATTAACACAGAAAGGCGAATGCCATAGAAGTCTTTATTTCATAGTTTTGGTGGCTTTGTTCCAGGTATGGCACAGCTTTTGTAAATAAAAAATTATGATAGTCACTGGAAAGACATGGAATGTTAAAACTAGAAGTAATTTTAGACATAATGTTGACCAAACTCCTAAGTTTATAGCTAATATAGAGTTTCCTGTTATGTCTTATAGCAGTGGTGCATGTCCTGAGCCCAGACATTAGGGTACCTATCCAGAAACGATCTCCTAACCTCTCCAGCCAAAACTTGTTTGAAGACAGAATTGAAAAGTGCTTCATGCTGTGAGTTATCCCATTGTTTAACCAGCCTGGCTTTCCAAGTTCAGGTTTTGAAGAGGGATGGAGTGATGTCAGATAGGAGAAGAGCAGCGTTCTGGTTCTTTGGAAGGTTGATGGTGGTGCCTTAATTCCACTTTCTCACAGTGGATGGAAATCTCTTCAGAGCATTTGCTCTGCTTTTAGCAATAATGCCGCTGTATTCATATGATGGTCCACACTTGACAAGCATGCACACACGCGTTCTTCCCCTTGATAATTACAACCCTGGGAGGTTGATCACATAACTACCCCTAATTTTCAGGAAAACCTGAGTCTGGAGAAGGTGAATTGACTTGTTCAAATTCTTTCGTCTCATAGATGACAGAGATAGCCCCAAATGTAAATGTTTTGGTTTTGAGTGTGGTATTCTTTCCAGTAGAAAGAGGTGCATCTCCATTGTTCATGGTATAAGTGCCCATTAGCTGCCAGTTTGACCTCATATCAGCTTCTTCCCTTGCTCTGCACTGCACCACATGGGACATTTCCCAGGCTCCTGAGCTCCCTGGTGGGTTCAGTCAACTGGAGATACTTACAGGAGAGGAGGAAGAAGGGAGAAGGCTCAGCTTCCTGTGGCATCTCTGGGTAGTGGCCTCCATGGTCTGTCTCTTGCCAGGGAGCCCCTTCTTTATTGGAGCCAGATCCCCCTGGAAACCTCCGCTCAGGCAGTGCAGGCTTCAGGGCTTTGGTAATATCACCTCCTCCTATTGGAGCTCTAGCCCCAGCCCCAGGAGAGGGTGCTCATAGAGCACTGCTCCTAAAGGTGACTGACACCTTTATTGGACAAGCTTTGGACATTCGAAGGAGTTTGTCATTTTATGGGCATATATTTTGATCCTTGGCTTTAAAGAAACCACTTTAATAGTGCCATTTTCTACACTGGAATTTCTTGGTTACTTGAAATTATACAAAATCGAACAAAATGCAGTTCCCTTCATCACCATTGTCACTCCTGCCCCCTTATACACACAGTGGTGGTTGGGTCTTTGTATTTCATGAGCACAACTAGCAATTAGCAATAAGGGTAGAGTTGCAGTCTATATTTCATGGTAGAAATTTTGTCTGCCTCCATCATTCTAACTTCGACACTAATTCAGACCCCTCTGAGTCAGTGGCTGTCAGACTCCAGACTGTATCCGAACACCGGGAGGGCTTATACAAGCACAGATGGACAGCTCTTCTCCAGAGTTTCTGATTCAGTTGGTCTGGGGTGGGGCCTAAGAATTTGCATTTTCATCATTCTTTTATTATAGTAAAATACATATAACAAAACTTACTATTTTCCCCATTTTAAGCATGCAATTAGGTGGCATTAAATCCTATATAATAAAAACCTAATATGCAAATTGTCCCCTTGGGCAGGAGTTCGACTGACCGCAAGTTTAACCACTTGCTATGACATGCACTGACCACCAGGGGGTGGCACAGAACATGGCTGGCGTCAGCACCGTGGCACTGGCAGCGGGTGGCAGTGGAAGTGCTGCCAGCCCCAATGGGCCCCGACTAGACTGGGACTGTGGCGGATGGTGGAGCAGGTGAGCGGGCAGCATCAGGCCAAGGCGGGTGAGAACAGATCCCCCACCAGTCACCCCGCAGACAGTGACTGGCGGTGGCAGTGGAGAGGGGCGGGGCTGGTGAGCAGGTGGTGCCAGGCCAAGGCAGGGTGCCAGGCAAGGTTGTGGGGCTGTGAGGCTGGGGGTACAAGCTCAGGCCTGATCTCCGCAGGCCACCTCGAGGGACCCCACCCTTGGACGAATTTCATGCACAGGGCCTCTAGTGTATTCATAATGTTATACAACCATCACCACTATTACTTTTAAAATGTTTCCATTATCCCTATCAGAAACTCTGTACCCATTAAACAATAACTCCCTATATCTGACCCTGCCAGCTCCTGGTAACCTCTGTTATACTTTTTGTCTTCATTAAATCTACCTTATATATAAATGGAATTAAACAGTATTTATCCTTTCAGGTCTGGCTTACTTCATTTTACTCCATTTAGCATAATATGTTCAAAGTTCATCCATGTTGTATCACTCATCTGTTTGAGTTCTGCTTTCAGTTCTGTTGTATATATACTTAAAAGTGGAATTGCTAGATCATATGGTAACTCTGCTTACCTTTTTGAGGAACTATCATTTTCCATAGTGGTTGCCCTAGTTTACATTCCCACTAGCAATGTATACAGTTCTAATTTCTCACCAATATTTGCTGTTTTTTTTTCTTCTTTAAAAAAAAAAAATCCTTTCTAATGGATATGAAGTGGCATCTCATTGTGGTTTTGATTTGCATTTACCTAATGACCCACCTAGTGTTCCACAGGTCCCAAGCCTATTGATGGTAGTGCTCTAGGTTAGATATGCCTGAGGACCTTGCCTGAGTACACTTCCCCCACTGGGGCCCCTATTTATGGCTGAGCTGAATATTGTGGTTCTTACTATGATCGCAGGACACACTTCAGCAAAGATCAAGAGAGAACTTTAAGGAACAAGGTCATGGGGGTAGAGAGAGAGAGAGAATGAGAAGGGAGGGAGAGAGTGGGGGAGTTGGGGCTCTGCTTTTATTAGGGTCTGACAGTGAAGTGTCTGGGGTTCTATAGTTCACTCCTTGTTGGGAAATTTAAGCCAGAGGAGCCGGAACCAGAGCACCAGAAGGGAGAAGCGGGGGGAGGGGTCACTCAAGTGGTCAGTTATCTAGACTACCCAGGGATTTCTATAAAAGGATCTTCATGGATGGGGCAGCCTGGCTCCTTATTTAGTTGGCTTGCTAGTAGCTGTGTCATGCAGCTGGCAATATGCTTATTTGAGATGGATGTCTTTTGACATGAATGCTTCAGCATCCAAAGGCTTAATAATGTCAGGCTCTGACACTTCAGCTAATGATGCTGAATATCTTTCCATGTGCTTATTGGCTATATATGAAACTAGAGGCCCAGTGCACGAATTTGTGCATGGGTGGGGTCTGGCCAGCCTGCCCTGATGGAGGCCAACCAGGGGCAGGGCTGGCCAGGGGGAGGGGTTGCAGGCA